AAAATGTAAAAAATTAAAATCTATTTATTTCTACTGTTTTATTTTAACAGTTTAACGCAGTTTAATCGATTCATTATGATTTTGCCAAACTGTGACGGCCATATTGTCACAAACTTCTATTAGTACTCGGAATACGCATTAGAGGTGTTGTTAGTTACAAGGTTTATATAGGAAATCCTATACCATGATCGGGCTTCGGGAATTATTGCAAGATTCCATCGGTATTTGAGCTCTTGATTACATTTCTGTAAGATGAATGTTTTCATAAAATTATTCAAATTGTAGCGAATTCATATTCACCTCATTTATTCACCAATTCGTAAAATGAGTGCATTCATTTCACCACTTGTAAGTAACAATACAAATGACAGCTGTGTCATTTTCGACTTTGTATTTACTAAAATAAGTTTATCTCAATTGTTCTTTTCCAAAGTGAACATAAAAAGTAAATATTTTCCACAAGTAAATTGATTACATTTTTTTGAGAATGGTTTCGTTCACTGATGCCCTCAATTATGTCGCTTATAAAAACCCAGTAAGTCAATTTACAATAGCTGGTGTAACTCAATTGGCAAAAGTATCTGTAAGTACATGATTGGCGTAAATTTTATTATTTTATTGAAATGAACACCAAATATTTATTGACTCTTCATTGTAGGGATTACATACGAAACCTTCGCACGCACGATCTGTTGCAACGAAATCGGTGTCTGATGCTGTACCAATTTCAAGACAATTGGGTTCGAGTTATTATCTTATTCGGGTGGCTGCATTGAGTGGTGCTACTGCCGTGTGCTTGGCTGCCTACGGACGACACAGTCTCAAAGAAAGATCATCGGAAAGAGCTGAAACAAAAGAATATCGACACATTTACGAGAGTGCCAATCACATGCATTTCATCCATTCGGTTGTACTCCTCGCCACACCTTTAACAAAACGACCACTAATTGTATAATTCATAAATTTGAACAAATAGAATTGATTGTAATGGATTGCATCTATTTCAGACTGGAACACTTTTCATTTCCGGAATGTTGTTATTTAGCGGAACTTGCTATTACAAAGCAATAAAAAAGGCGAAAGGCGAAAATGTCGAATATATCCCAGCACATTTGGCACCATGTGGTGGACTGTGCTTGATCCTTGGATGGTTGAGCATGCTGTTCTAGATGCTGTTCTAAACTAAATAACATAAAATTTACTCAGATATTTTTTTAACAGCAGAGATTATTTATTGCATCATTGTCTTCATATGTAAAATAAAGTATCTCGTTTTTTTTATTAAACGCTGATGATATGAATGATTTCTTTATTCTGATAATATTGGTTATAAACTTAACGATCAGTGAATAGTTTTGTACCATTACCAAATCAGTTTGGCATTTGGGCGTTATTTTAATTCTTTGGATATAATAAAAACCAACAAATGTCATCACCATACAAACGTTATATAATTATAGTAGTGGTGAGCATGCAAAATGATCAATGATTCAAACTCATAACAAATAGCCCCCAATCGTCTGTTGCAAATGACATAACCTTGAGCATTAAAATTCCATTTTTTATGTTTATCTGTGGTCATCGCACACAGTGATGATCACAGATTACTTTGATTTAATTACCATGTTTATGACCGCGTTTTCTTGTTTATTTGAAAAATGGCAAGAATATTCACTAAATCAGTAATGTGCGAGCTACATTTTACAGGGGGGGGGTGATTTTTTAAAAACCAAAAATTCTCTAGCAAATCAAACAAATTTTGGTTTTTTTTTTTTTTTTTTTTTTGGAAGTCACTTTTTGAGGCGAAAATCCCTAGCAAATCGAAAGAATTTTCTCCGCGAAAAACCTTAGCAAATCGGAAAAAAATCTCTCGGAACCAAAAACCCTAGCAAATTTAAAGAATTCTCCTCAATTTTCTACATTGATGAGCTGAAAAAAAAGGTCTTCACTTTTTTCATGAAAAACCCTAGCAAATTCGAATAATTTTCGCGAAAAAAATTTTCTCATCCAAATCACAGGGGGGGGTAAACCCCCCTCCTACCCCCCCCCTTCGCACATTACTGGGCTAACGGTACCCGATTGAACATGATTTTGTATTGTGTTCAATGTGTTTTTCTCTATCGCAATCTCATTCTACCACGCAGTCAATTTAAAAAAAAAATTCGAAAATTCTGTTTAATATTATATTTTAAAATAATACTTACCGAACACTTTTTCTGGAAAACCGACAAAAATCCAATTCGATAGAATATATCACTTTCAATGCGAACTGAAAATTTATGCGCAACAATTTTCGTTCTTACACTGGTGATGGTTCGACACGATGTGACTTGTTGCCGGCTTGTTGGTTTGAAATGTCACACTCTCACACCAACACATTCAAATCGGTTTGTCGTTGCAAGTAGCCGATATTGAACAGCGAATGCGTTAGCTACTTTTGATACAGTTTTTGTTTATCCGTTTGCGTCGCCATGTTGTCGTTGTGACGTTGTTCCGATGCAATGCTACTGTGTCTACAACATTGATTCCTTGTTTGTTGTTCTCTCCACTGCTACTACTACTACTACTACCAAATCTCAATTTTTGTCAGCAAAGTGTTTGCTAACGCAGCTTCGTTCAATTCATTTGCAAATTGTTTTTAATTTAAGTGTGTATATGTGTGACCAAACCCTTACTACTTTCTTACATACTAAATAGAATGGATAACATTCTTCAATAATGGAATACTAATTTTTAAAGTAAGTATACCCCGTCTTCTGCTCACGAAATTCCCTAATCAACGGTAGTGCGTCAGCTGCTGATAAGTGAACGATGTGTGTTCGAACGCTGAAATATTTCATTTATTTTCAAGGCTAAGATTATGGAAATAGAATTGAGTTCAAGTTCTATAAATAGCAAGCTTTTTATTATTTCCTTTCATTGAAAAAATGCCAGTTGAAATACTTTTACCTATCGTATTTTTGAGCTATGCGAGTTATCATTTTTATGGCTTTTAACTCCAATGACGCTGGCCGAGTTTTTAAATACGTTTTAAATTCATGCACATCTCCATCTGGTTCGATAGTACAATCGTCACATTTTTCAGCATGGAACTGTTTTCAATTATTTTCAATAGAATTTTAGTATTTATTGACAATTGTTAAAAGAAAACTTTAGTTTTTTTCCGAACGAAATTTTATTTTGTTTTCGTTTTTGACGTATTTTATCTTCGCTCTTATTTTTTTTCATTGTTCATTCAGTAAATTTTTAATACAATTACAAATTACTTCATTGAAAAAAAAAAA